TCGTGATCTATTCTTAATGAAATGAATGATGGTTGTTGCTGTAATTCTGCATGATCCTGAGTTTTTTTAATCAAAGATGAATATGTTGAAATTAATGCAGGCAGTGGCGTGGTTGAGGATTGACTGGTCAATATTGGTGCAATTGGGCGAGGAGTTGTTGAAGTTATTGGACGGCTAAAAATAAATTAAACATGTAGTGAAAATATTAATTTACGAATATTTAATAATATTATTTCTTGTTTATATATTTAAGAAAAAGAATAGTATACTATAAGCAGAGTAATGTTGTTAGTAATTTTGAAATTATGTAAGAGTAGAATTCTGCGATACGATTTAAATTCTGAATGTATCATATTAGTATATTTCTTTTATTAATTAAATTAAATTTTAAATTACTTAATAATGTTTGAATTATATTTTACTTAGCAATATAAAAAAGAACAACATTCAGTATTTAATTAAATGTACTAGAGTAAACAGTATAGTTAGTATCATTTCTGAAGTAGTGCATATATCTATAAAGAAGCTAGAATTTTATATAAAGTTAGTAAATAGTTTAGCCCATAATTAAAATTAAAAAATTAAGCTTAAACATATATATCATATTATAATGCCAACAGAATAAGCTAATCCCCAAAACACCAATTTTATATCCGAAGCTTAGAAAGTATAATTGTAATAAAGCTAAACTAAGAATGTGTAGTTTTGAAAATTAGTTAAACAATAAGAATTTTTTAATGTTAGCTTTAGATTAAAAAATGTATAAATTCATCATAAAAAATTTGATTAGAAAAGAAACAAATGTAATGATTTGGGGTTTAGCTCACCTAATATTTATATTTCATATTGCTCTGCAATGCAGATCGCACTGAGTTTAGAATTAATTAAATATTTTTATATTTCTTAATATTTATTTTATTTCAAATTTTTATATATATAATTTTACTCTTTATTTATATTTTAATGTAATTCATTTCTTTTATCTGCTTATTTTTAATTAGGGTGTATTTAAGTCTGTTTAGTCAAAGCAGGATTCATTACTGTGCTCCTTACCCCTGCGCTGATGAAACAGGAATGCTACCATAGTTGTAATAATAGCATCGAGTCTGCTCACATATGAAGTCCTTAACAGTAGAACAGTCCTCTGGCATCCACTTTAGTGAAGGTTGTTTTAAAATTACGCAGCCCTTTTCAGCTCCACTACTACTGTAAGGATAAAAATATTTAGATACGTTTCATAAACTAGTATTACTGTTTTGAATATAATATAGTTTATATATATGTTATTATATTACTATATATATTTTTCATACTATACTCATTTTTAAAAAACTGTTTTTAAACTTACCTATCTCGTGCTGTTCTTTGAGGTGATGTATTACTGTTATGATCTGTGGGATCTAAAAGTCCAGCTTGAATAGCATCAGCAGAATTTTCGAAGAAATCAAATGTGGCATTAAATGGTAGGCCAGTACTCATCCAGAGGAACATACCCGTTCCTAAACGATTACCAGATGTCCAAAAATCATAATTACCATACCCAGCATTCTTGAGATATGTTGTCATTGATTCAGCCTTTTCTTTAGTCTCAAATGAAGCTAATTGTAGACCCAATGAACGACAATACTGATAAGCAAGGAAATAATTCAATTCCGGAGAGTAAGGGTTCATACGGCTGATAAAATATTGTACCCCATCGAGATGAATTGTAGTAATGCGTTGACCTATATAAAAATTATGAAATTGTTATTTATATGATAATAAATAATTATTGCTTATAATTCTCAAGTTTTAAGTATATTTATTCAAAAGTTATTATAGTATTATAATTTTTGTTAAACGCATTAACCTATATAAAAATTATGATATTGTTATATATATAATAATTATTATTATATATTATAACTTCCATATATAAAAATATTTTTTTTAAACGTATTATATTATTATTTTTATTATTTTATCCCACATATCTAAATTAATATCACTAAATCGGTAAACAAGATAGAGTCCTGAAATCTGCAATATGTTAGTTTATAGTTTATATTATCAAAGGTTATAAATGCCCTAACATTTTAGAGTTATAAAATGTTTAAAATTGTTGTCAATGATAAAACTCATTTATAATGTTAAATGGGAACATATGTGTCTAAAGTAATATTTTATGATGAAATAAAATATCATCATAAAATATAAATTTTTAAAAATAATAACATAATAAATACGACTGAAAAACAGCTTTATTCAAATCGAAATAAAAAAAAATTATCTTTACTTTCTATTAAGCGAAATTTGAAATTGTTATGATACATAAATTGTTAAAATAATTTATAAAAATAGTTTTAATTATAAAAATCATTATTTTGGCCAGAATAAAATAATTTTTTCTCATTTTTTAAATTTTCAAATAATTTTTCAAGATCATTACATATCTAATAATATAAATAATAAATATCAACAACAGACTGTCTCGCAAGAGACGCCATATAATATACTTAGCAAAAAAAATATTTTAAAATACGCTAGCTGACTGGAAGGAATTGTGAATAAAAGTATTTTTATTATAGATCAGGAAACGGTAGTGTCCTTATCGTTTGCTTATCTCATATTAGGTATGTGAGATAGATGTTTGAGAAAGTGAAAATCTCTAGAACATTGAAACCCGTAGACTATAGGACTGTAGGCATATTTTTTCGTTTTATCTCTAAAATACAATAGTAGCTATTAAATTCACCACTTATTCTGTTGGCATGTGTACTTACTGTATAATAAGACGATATTCTATTTAACGATTGATATGAAGATTATAAAGATTCACAGAAAGTGTTCTTTGATTTTTATCTTATAAGGAAAATAATTTTTTTAATGCTAATTACATTATTAAATGTTCAGTTATATCGAATATTATATGAATTATATATTAAATATATGTATATGCTTATTTCACACAATATATTTATATATATATTCAACAATTATATTTTTGCGTATCCCATAGATTGGTTTAGGAACATGTCCTTCTGAATTTGAAATTTGAAACAACGAAACTTGGTCATCGTGAAAGAATGATTCCTGAAACCAACAAGTTCATTGAAAATTTAATTTTTGTGAATTACAATGTACCCTAGTATTCATAGCATGTGAAAGTAAAACGGCTTTTGCAGCTAACTGAGGAGGTGAGAGATTCGATACTCCTTCCCATACACCTACATACTCGTAGCACTACACTTTATTATTTATACTATATCTATTTCATATTTAAGATGTTTAATAAATGAATAAATATGTACATAATAAAGTTGGATTTTTCCGACAATATAACTTCTTTAACTGTAAAAGCAATATAAATTATTTATTTTTGAGTTAAATCAAGATAATTATTGTAATTAAATAATTATATATTACTTGATACTGAAAAAAAAACTTCATGAATCAAATAAGTCATGAATCCCATATTCATTAAATTGCGATTAGTATACGCATATATACATATTTATATAAATGAATATGTTTGCATGAGTACGTTTCCACAATTCTGAGGGAATGCTACAGCATTTCCGGCAATTGAAATGCAGAACGTATTCAAGGCAAATGACGAAAAAGAATATTTATATCCAACACTTGGAGTTATACATAACAGTGCTAATATATTTTTTTAAAGAAATATTTGTTACATACATAGATCTAATGGTAGGTGACTTAGAATGGAAAAACTTAAAAATTTTAGATATCAGCATTTAAATTAAGAATGGCAAGAACAGCGTGAAACATTTTACGCATATAAATTTTTAGACAGGAAATTACTTTTTCGCTTTCGAGTGCATTCCACGCTTCATATTAAAATAGCGAATTATCACACAACAACATATCCATATACAGTGGCGTAGGTAAGGTGTAAATTAAAATATTCCAGAATGATTCACAGAATATTTACTCTGATACGCCTTTAAGTAAATATATATATTTGGTTTACTTCAAATTGAACTATTACAAAAGGCAATGAACTTAAGTCATATTTTTATATTATTATGATGATCATTTTTAGTTTCGTAATTTTTTATAAAACGTATTGCTCAAATTGGAAGTTTTGTTTCCATAATTATCGCTAAAGAGAGAATAAGAAGAATTTAACATATATAATATGATTCTTTAGTTTGCCTACACTATTAACACTATATGGTATTTAGTCAAAACGCCTTCGAAGACGAACAAATAATAAAATTGAAGAACTACTAAGAAACGAAAATATAGTGAGATACATTAAGTCACAAAGGCTACAATGGGCTGCTTATATAGTAAGAATGGTACCGGAGAGATAGCTGAGCAGCATATACAACGCAAAGCCGATGACAACCAGGCACAGAAGTAGGTCAAGAACAAGATGGGATAAGAACGTGGATAGTTATGTAAGAACGATTGGAGTATTGAACTGAAAGAGAGTAGCAGAAGATCGGGACAGATGGAGGCAGATCGTGAGGAGGCCAAGTCCACACTGGACTGTAGTACCAAATCAGAAGAAGAACTCAAAATGTCTATAAATTCTCTTAGAATTACATTGAAATACATATAATAGAATGAGATACCATGTCTGAAGTAAATGTGTTCTATGAGTTAAGTATTCAGTTTAAATTTCAAAACTATTTAGAAGTACAATATAAACAATATGAAGTGATAAAACTTAATATGGTAATTGTATTTAGTTATATATAGGCTATTGGTAACTACATATAATTTTTGAATAATAATATTTTATTAAAACCCCACATTTTGCAAATTTTTGCGACTTTAACGGAAAAATTAAATATATATTACAACATTATAAAACTGTTGAGAAGGTAAAAAAAGCCCCGAAATGTCAAGTAGTAAACATAATTATATATTATTTAAAAATTATTTATACTTATTTTTCTATATAAAAATGAAACTATAAACTAAATATAATAACTTTAAATAATTATTATAGTACTAATATATCTAAATCTTAATATTTCATGCCTCCCATATATTAAGTTAGGAATTCACATACACTTGGTAGTCTAACTACCAGTAACTAACTTACTGTTCAAGGATAAAAAGCATTGACTATAGATTCCAATGCGTATAATTTACTTTTTTAAATTTAGAGTTTTACTACATTTTCAAGCCCTTTAGTCAATATTAAATAAAAAATTCAACTTTTAGAATCAGTAAATGTAAAAAATAAACTAAATTATAAATTTTATTTTTAATTACCATAGAAATGATTATTTTATAAAAATTAATTTTTTATATGTGTGAAAGACTAATAGTATGTTTTGTTTATATTTAAATAATAATAAAAATTCAAAATAAAATAATTATTTTATTTATTTTTTTAATATATTCATAATTTTGTTTTTTAAAGATAAAAGAAATTTTCAATTAGCCCTTTTTATACATATTTATATAAAAAAATTTAATTATTTAATGATATAATTTTTATTCTGCCTTTTTGTGGTTTTTGTTATTCTTATTTAACACAAAATTACCCTTTAAAAATACCACACCAATTTATTCTTCTGAAATTTTAATAATAAATAAGACGAAAAAATAAGCTATATGATTAAGATTAAAATAATTTCTTTTTTAATTTAAAAAACATGACATTTTGACAATTATACAAGTCTTCTGGTACTTAATGCCATAACATTATTCATTTTGTGATTTGTATTTGTAATGCATAATAAAGCTAAGCAATTTGGACTAAATGTATACAAACTTCTTGTGATCATCACCCTAACTAAAATCATGTCTATTTTATTTAACATATCTTCAATTCATGGAATTAAATGATAAAATATTAAACAAATAAAATATTTACCTAACAACACTAAAAATTTTTTATAAAAAACACAATAAAATGTTTTTCCAATCATTTTCAATATATATAATTTATTTTTGCTGATTTCATAAAATTTTGGTATATATTTTTTAAAAGAAGTTGTAATTATTTCATTGTTATTTTATTTTATTTTTTTTTTTTTGTTTATTTTTTTGACATATATGTATATATCACGATGAACCATTAAACTTAAATTGATCTTGAATTCCTGTGATTGGTGTCCTAACCTATTTCGATTTTTATTATATTGATAATATAATTATTTTAACTCATACGATTAAATACGAAGACTTGACCAACTAATTATTTACCTAACAAATAAAATTTAATAAATACCACAAAATATTATATTTTCTTGACTTTTTAAAACAAAGTTTAAGCAATTATTAAAGAACTTGAATATACATTTATAAAATGCCATTTGTTTTGCTAAGGATATTGACTTAAATTTTTTTTTTTTATTTTAATAGAATCGCTACCTTAACCTATTATATGTAGTTTTTATTATATTTAAAACAATTTATGAAATTAAAAAATTATTAAAAATCATTTTGAAAAAAATTATTTAGATAATAATAAAACAATTACATTAATTAAACCACCTAGACTTTTCTGCCAACACTTATGGATATATAGCAAATTCTTTTTTATTTTATTATATATATTTAGATTTCTTTATGTCAACAAAAATTTTAATTTATGTAACGAAATAATTAAAACTCTTTACCAAATAAATTTTTTTAGGTAATAATAAATAAAATAGTTAATATTAATTAAACCACCTTGACTATCCTACAAACACTTATGGATATATAGAAATTTCTTTATTATTTTATTATATATATCTAGATTTCTTTATGTCAACAAAAATTTTATTTAAGTAACGAAATAATTAAAACTCCTTACCAAAAAAATTTTTTTAGGTAATAATAAATAAAAAAATTAATATTAATTAAGCCACCTTGATTATTCTACAAACACATGGATATATAGCAATTTCTTTTTTTTTTGTATTATATTTTTCTAAATTTCTTCATATCAAAAAAAATTTTTAATTTATATGACGAACAAATCAAAACTCCTTACTAAATAAATTACTTAGTTAATAATAAAAAAATTACATTAATTAAACCACCTCGACTTTTCTGCAAACACTTATAAATACATAACAATTTTTTTTTTATTTTATTATAATTTTATAAATTAATTTTCTTATCAACAAAAATTTCGTTTATGTGTAGGAAGTAGCTATATAGCTCTATGTTGACAATTAATAATTTTTTTTATTATAACAAATATTTAAAATAAATATTTCTTAAGAAAACATTTCAAAAAATAATAAATTTCTGAATAAAAAATGTGACAATACATTGGGAATTTTTAGAAAATATTGACCATTGCTTTCTTTTATTTAAGTAGCTTTATATGCAGCTAGCGATAAAATTTTTAAGGCACATTTTAAGCAAAATATGAAGTAGTAATAACGGAATCATTGTCGTAATATAGTACATATTTCTTATTACTTTATATTGTATAAATAAAATCAACCTTTAAAACTCTAAAAAAAATTCGGAAATGATGCAAGAAAATATACACAATTTTTCTTCGACTAAATTAATCTTTAAATTGATTAAGAAAAACGTACACCGTAATATAACATTAAATCATAGTCACAATTTTATTTCGATTTTCTTTAAAAATTTAAATTAAATATTTTATAATTTAGTTATTTATAATTATAATTTCAGTTATTTTTTTTTAATATAATCTTTTGATGTATTTTGTAATTTATTATTCATCTGTTTGAATATTATTCTAAAATTTTATAGATACTAACCTGATGCGCACAAAAGGACACTAAGCAAGCAAATTAAAAATATTTTCGGCATTTTGTATATATTTAAAAATAAATCCGTTTTAAGTTTAAAAATATTTCAATTATTTTTCTTTAGTAAAAATCAGTTCTTGTTAAAAAGAATTGAAATTTTTGTTTAAGCGGAAACACTTTATTTCTCGATCGTGGCAAGTTACAAACTAAATGAAGCGATGGGCATGTAAGTATAATTTACTTAAATTTCCTATCCAATTTACTAACACAAAGACTCACAAAGTCAATTTTTAAACTCATAGACATAAAAGAAATATTTAATCCTTCAAGCCAAGTCAATAAAAACAAACAAGAATATAAACCATGAAAAGAAACCTAAGCGTAAAAGAGAACATACAAAAGATGACTTCGAGCTCAGGTAAGAAAGAACTGCATGAATTCATTATTTTCAAATTTCATAGTCAGTTTTTGCTCGTTCGATAGTTCTGTATTGGTAAGTACCATAAGTCAGTTCTTTCTTTCATTCTTTATTTCATTTTCTTCCGATTTTCTTCTCCTTGTATTTTACCATTATTTTTCTTTTTGATATACTGGTAACAATATGAAAAGCTGAACACAACTGAACACAACCTGTTTCAAAGTCACAATTTCTCAAGTAAAATGTTGAAGACCGACTTACTCTCCAATTGTAACATTGTTAGCCGTTGAGGAATTTTTAACCAAACACGTACGAAAAAATATATATAAATTATTTGGCAACACAACGAAAACTTAAATTGGAAAAAGAACACAAACGAAAAATAATACAGAAATACAAATTTAAAAATAAAATAAAATTAAAATCATTTTAAGTAGATAAAGGCTACAGAAGCACCAACAAGCCACAAACTTAGCTTCGAAGGCAAGATGATCGTTTTGTGAACAGAAAAGATACGTCGAAAAAATTATTAGCTTGGTAGAACATAATGAATTGTTGAGTTATGAAGTTTATTGATCTTATAAAAAAATTTGCTATGGGTTATTTCATTCAATTTTATAATTTTACAAAATCATTATCAGTAACAAGAGATCAAATTTAAAAACCTATAAAGCTATGATTTATTTATTAATATCATTATTTCGATTTAATTCAAAAATAGATCACCGTGCAGACTTCAAAACTCACCTATGTTAATTGTATGGCTATAGTGTATACAGTTTTTTTTTTGTTTGAAGACATATATGACTACCTTATATTTTATAAAGTAAATTTATTACAGTTTAGCAATAATACTTATTTTATTATTATTTTTCTTTTATATGTAATTGATTCCATTAGAAAATGAGAAGAGGTAAGGCTGTAATCAGAAATAACATTAAAGGTCGCATCTGTTTGTACATTACTTAAAACCGCCTTAATGAATATATAATATAATGCTTTATCACATATTGAACCTTTGAAATATTATATTTTTAAATTTGAACTTAATGATGTACTTGAAATTTATTTAAGTTTAAGAAATAAAGAAATAAAATTTATAACAATTTCATAACAAGTAACCTTTATAAATATATTATTAAATTAAAAAAAAATAACATTGTTTGAATTTACTTAATTAACTTCTAATTAAAATAATTGTATACATATTAAAGAATTTAATTATTAAATTATTTCTAAGACTTAAATGGCATTTAATAAATTAATTAATTTAACTCAGAATAATCTTATTAAGTACAGATTTATAGTATTTTTCTTCCTTATATTCTTATAATACATCTTCTTCAGCGTCGATATCAAGCCATGCATTTAGCTATTTAAACCCATATCAACAACATCGTTATTTATCGATCCTTTGTAAAATGTATTTAAATAAGATCTTGTTCAACATCGCGTTTCCATTTTTTCTTCTTACTGGTCTTACTCTTCTTTTGGTTTCCGATGAAATTTTCCTTTTTGCCTATAGAATAATACGTTTGCTGAGCATTTTGATAGCTTACCACTATCATTTTTAGTTGCTGATATGTCTTATTTGAGTTTAATGTCATGAGTAGATATTTATAGCTTCAACAAGATCTTCCACAATGTTAATACGAGTATTATATGATCATTATAGACTTTGTTTCTAAAGGTAATAACTGCTGACTTTCCGTTCTTTGCTACCTTTGCCATTATTAAAATGTTTCCATTGTATGTGCTGGTTTATAAATTCTTGTTCCACGTTCATTGATATCATTTACTATACTATGATGAATCGAATTAAATATCATTTATGATTTATTACGCTTTGATGAATCGAGTTAAATATCAATGCAGAAAAATATCATTTTATTTTATATCAGACATAAAACAAGACATAAAACATTGCTGATACGCAATAATTCCCCTTTGCAATTTAATTTTAGGTTATGTTTTAGATAGTATGAATGATATACCTTATAAGTTTATAATATATTTCATATTTAAGCAATCGGTAAGTAATTTGATTTCAGATTAGACCAGCAAATTATTAACATTTATATGACTTAAAGCCATTTTCAGTAGTTGATTCATTTCCGCGACAGTCACATTATCACTCTCCAAGAATTTACTTCGCAGGTTCTTATACCCCTTTCAACAGAATAATTTTCATATCTTATATTGATAACTTTTTGTATACGAAGACGAAGATACTAGTGACCTAATCTTCGAGCCGCACAATATGTTTCAATTAGTAAAGTCTTAATGCCGAAGATACTGATATCGCCCATAACACCCAACCTAGCCAGCAAACCTAATCGGTCTTATGGTAAATGCGGACAAAACAAACTGCTTTCTGTAACGTGTAAATCTCCTTGGCACTCTTGGGCCATAGTCACTAGTGATCACTATAAGTTCAAAGTTCTAGAAAAACTTTGTTTATATAGAAATCAGTGTAAACACGTCAGTCTATATAATGCGAGTTTAGTAATATTTTTGACAAACTCATGACAGTTTTTCCTATGAATATGAGTAGTTCTTTATTATAAGAAATCTTTATGAGAAGTAATTATTCTAGATTATTATTAATACATTATATTATCATTATATTATCATTATATTTCATTTATTTTAATTCGAAACATACGATATATCTTATACACATATTATCGTATAATATTTTTTATCAAATATATTTAATTCGTTTCTTAGTAAGTGTTTAGTGTTAAGTGTAGGATATGAGTAAAGTTACCCTTACTGGACAAACTTTTCTATTTGACTTCATTAAACTGCCTTACTGATCTTCTTGACTGACTACCTGCAATAATGATATTTTGTATCTTGCTTTGCATAATATTATAGCTTTGATCTTGTACTGATATTTATGTACATAATTTGATTGAATGCAATACAATCCTAAAGTCATTGCGAATCCACAAAAAAAAAAATGAAAATAAAAAGCATACATTTGAATTCGTTGAACGATCAGTAGACAATGTTCGCATAAAAATTATTATTAATAATATTTTTTCTATAATATAGAAATATTTTCTTCTAAAAATAAAAATAGGGATTAACATTTTATTCAAATTGAAATCGTTAAAAAACGAGGTTTGTTAAATGATTATCTTGTTAATTTTTCTAGTTGTTTTTGGATTTAGTTCAAGAAAAGTAATCTGTGTTTTTATTTTCTTTATGTTATTAATCAAATTTATCTACATCCTATACCTATTTCTTTATCTCTATTTTTGTTTAATAGGTAGAATTATTTTGTACAAGGCTTTGGGGTTAAAAAACTTTACTTTGCTTCTATGTATAAGTTAAAAATATTTATGATTAATATTTATTATATAAATTACTTAACTATTCTACTATATTTATTAATGATTTATTCGATACCCCTAAAATATTACCTTGATTTGGTAACTGAATGTCGTATATGATTCTTATAATTACTTTCTTGCGATATTTGTTATTAGTTTTTAAACTTTTTATAGTTTTAATATGGCCATAACCACGTGATACCAAGATTTCGTTTGAAGAAATATGTTTTCAGAGTAACTTGTCTTTATATTGATCTATTTAGTCTGTCACACCAGAAGTTTATAAGATATTCAAAGCAATTATAATAATTATTTACACATTTCTAAAGTGACTTAATATTAATCTTCACAATACTAAGCTAGAATTGTGACAAACTAAAGGCAAAGTGAGTGATTAACTCACTAAAGTGACTTATAATTTATCTTAACAATATTAACCTAGAATGTGTTAACGTAAAAAATATACCTGCTAAGATACTAAAAAATAACACGTAGTTCTTCAAAGCTTCTCTTTAAACTTTTTCACCAGATATAAACGTCAAGAAGTCACCAAAGTTTTCGATAATCGGAAAAAAAATTAATAAAAATAGTTTAATAATGTATACTTATTTAAGTTAGTTCTAAACTATAATGAGAGTATACTGGTTTCTTAGTAACCATTCATGTATAGAATATTCACGTATACAACTAGGAAATATAAATGTGCTCTCTATCTATAAATTTTTGCTTAAATTTTGTGGTATAATTAAACATGTTTACAGTTATCTCCATCTGTTGTGAACGGATTTAATTTTCCAGATATAATTACTTCACTTAAAGGCAGAAACTATGAAGGGTATCGGTATGTCGACTTCCGTGAAAAAAAATGGTCCAAAAATTTTAGCGCACACCTTGAAGTAAGATAGGGTTATCTATTAACATTCTTTTTTTTCTCTAATTTCTCTATTAATTGAAAACAATTTACAGTTTTTGATTATTTTTTTCGTGATACCACTTTTATTTCATTATTTGAAACAGTACCGTGGAATAAGCTGGTCCAGGGAGCTGGTCCAGGGAGCTGGTCTCTTTCACATCAAAAATTTCTTGTTAGTAAATAAATGTTAATTAAAATATATTCATTGATGTTCATATAATACCTTTAATAAATGTAGGATATAGTGCATTGGTAATCTCATATTTCCTTCATATCCGAATCTAGCATTAATGATCTAATAATTTATTAATGTTGTATAATTATATGGAATTTTTCATTTTTTTATATCAACTGATCTGTAAATTATTAAAAAAGATTTTTTCTAAAAATATAGTAAATAGGTTAATTTTAGGTTACTTTTAAAAGCCACAACCAATTGAATAAAAAGATTATATATTATTTCTAGTCCATGGCATAGGTTATTCCATGAATGATAATGTTGAATTAAAGACTACTATAAAACCTTACTTATTTTC